AAGCAACTAAAGTCCCCAATGCAAAGGTGCTTAACTTGTTGTAGTTAAGCATTCTTCATTTTATGATTTAGTAACAAAAGTTATCCATGCATTGGCGGTCTTCTTTTATTTAAGTGTTTTTCCTAGGCTCCCGCGTTTGGGATTGTTTCTTTCTAGGTCACCACAGCCATCTCTCTTCTCTTACTTACTTTACCCCATCGTCTTTTTTCCCTACTAGGTAACCAGTTGCGCCAAATGACGCAGAGACCCGCTAAAGACATGTTGTCGATGAAAATAGTTTCATTTTGCAAGGACATATTCAATATTGATAGTAGAAAGCTCATATGTTAAATCATGCTATATTGAAAATATGGTTATGCGCTTGAAAGTATTTGACATGTGCTTGAAAACTGGCGCAGAGACACACTAAATCCATGTTCACATTGAAAAGAAAATTCATGGTTTAGTTGTTTTAGTTGTGGGCAAGCACATATGGTAACAAATTTAACGCATCATAGAGCCCAATTGAAACCATGTGCACGTTGAAATATTTTGCATTTTTCAACAACTTTATGTTTAAGAAAGCACAGATACCATGTCAACTTGAAGTGTTTTGAAAATATTTAACTTTAATATAAGTAGATTTTAGCAACCACTTAGGGACTAATTCGAACCCTTGAAGATGAAAAATGAAGGATACTTTATCTTTGAAAATATATACTTGAGCATGCATATTATGTGATCTTATTCGAATAACATAGGACCAAATGGCCCAAGAAAAAATTCAAACACGACTGTTTTGAAACCATTTGCGTTTATTTAATATATTTTAAGTTCTAGAAATTATTTAGGTGCATGGTAAAAAATGAGCTAAAAATGCGCCATTCAGACACCATTTTCAACCATTTATGCATGTGATCGTTACATAGAAAAATAAAAGAGGTCACTACCATAGTTAAAATGTAAGGAAAGGTCTGAATGAACAAGCTCTTGTAGGAGCTAGAAATTATATTGTTTTTTGAACAGAGGGATTTTATTAAAATCAACAGCACTTTACAGAAAAAAGGGTGAAAGTATTCATGAAAAGATCAGAGGGGATATCTCTGCCTGGAGAAAGTCCTACATCCTGACATAGACATCTAGGAGTTTGAATTCGATAGTTCCAATTTGATAGTTCCAATGTTCTTGTTAGAGCGGAGGCAAGTTACTATCGATCTTACGGCGGCTTTCCTCCTTCCACTTGTCCCAAATGACCTTTTCAGTTTCGTCTTGCCTACAAAAATAATTTTTGAGAGAACCCTTGCATAAGAAACAAATAAAATCAAGAGAATGAATATACAACTGAAAGACAACATCTTTTCAGAAAGAACTTGTAAGAAACAAATGAAAACAAGACAAATGGATGGGTTCGAATCAGACATAAAAGTGGCTATAACTGAAAAGAAACAAATGCCATATGAACAAACAAATCAAAGGACAATGCAAATGCCTAATATTGCCAGGGTATACACCAGAACATGTAGTACAAAGCATCAGTTTGACATAGTACTACCCTGACATGGAAAATCGGTGTTTTTTCATAATATAATGAAGTGTCAGAGGATTATTGTGTTGGTTTGATCTGTCTTGCCTTATCAGAAGCAGAGGACAAAGCAAAAATACACATGGCAGACAAGGAACAAATGGTTGTGTTCATTCTCATCGGCTGCCAGAAACTAACTGGCATGGTCTATGTAATGTAAGAGGTACATTGCATTTCAAAAGAAAAGGCTTCCCTTGCCTATCTGGATGTGAAGATCCATCACTATAATCTTCGTTTTTGTTTGTTTTGGTCGTTACAACACTGTATTGAGCCTTTTCCCTATTCTCTTATTCCAACATATATTCACATGCAACTCCTCTAATCTCTGACATACTAAAGCCTAGCCAAGCATCATTACATCACCAAGATCTGATGATTGAGCTAGTGCATCTATCTCATGAGCCACCATGTAGCTTCTTGTACACAAGAATTGGAACATTTAACTAACAGTGCCTTAATGTCTTCGAGCTCATGACACAATCTGCAGTGAGAAGGATCAGCAATTTTCAGTTTGTTGACACATTAGAAAACTACATGGGAGTTGCACAACTCCAGCGCTAACTGAACAACAAATCTCAGTGCGCAAGCTTTAGCATATCCAGGTAAAGTTCTCAATGAATAGAGTTTGTGATGGACGATTCTTCAGTGAATTGCAAAACCAAGAATTCAAGGTACAGTTCGTCAGAGAACATAAGCAATAGCATTCCTTTTTATCTAAATAAAAAAAGAGGATCGAAAAAATTAACAGAAGAACCGCCTTTTGGTTGGCAAGCATTATTGCATCAGCTTTAAGGTCCGTCAATCAAACAAATCCCAAGCATACGAATTGAACAAACTACTGACAGAAAACTGAAAGAACAAAGTAACCTAAAAACACTTTGACTAAAAAATGTAGACCTACTGTAATCAGCACTCAAACGGTGCAAATATAAAATGATGCCAGCCACTGATTATTCATGAACACAAACCATACAGATGACTAAAGTGCAGAAAACTGAGTGTCCAAACATGCAGAATTATTTGTTTGACCAACAACTCCCCTATTTCAGTTTATTTTGAGGCCGGACCAGGTTTAGAATAACAGCAATGCTAGACAAGACGATAATGAGCTTCTGATCATGTTGTCAAGCAGCAAGTAGTCGGAGAAGGCATGGTGGTGATCTCGCGGGCGGGAGGCCTTCCCCACCGACCTCCACTTCCTCCTCACGTTGCTCGCTATCTCCATCGCCGTCCTCGTCAACTACTACATCGCCCTTCTTGTCTACCACTCCTTGTCGCCACACCCTGTCCTGCCCTGTCCTAGCAGGAAGAAGCCGATGACGGAGGCCGACCTGCTGCAGCCACATGATGTGATGCAGGTGCTCCTCGCCTCCCCGTTCTCTTTTCCCTCTCTCTTCTCTCCGAGTTTTAGATCTTTCTCAACCATTTGCTGCTGGCGTGTAAGAGATCCATTCAGTTAATCATTTTAACGCTTGAGTAGCTACTGCCTCAAAATATCGTGCTGCAAATTTTACATTGCCCATGAATTCTCAGTTATTACCTTTTGTAGAATAGTGTCCTGGTCAAGGATCTCCTACCAAGAGCAGAAGTACACCAATCCCGAAAAATATCACTTAGATAATACTTCTGGTAATACAAATTCCTTACTTCAGAGGAATCCTGAATAAGTGGATACCATACCATATAGTATGCATTACACATGACAGCAAATAGCAGGTATATGTATTGGTAGGAATAGATATCCGACGGGATGCTTCACGTCAAAGTTTTTCTCCAGTAGATTACTGAAGAGGCGATAAAAGCTCTAGATCAAGATAACCTAGAAAATACTCCATTATAATTCTTGAAGAGTTATAAATCTAAAGAGAAAAAATACAGAACCATCCAAGCTATTAATGTATTAATTAACTATCAGTGGCATCCGGTCAAGTATTTTAGGGAAGAGCCCAAGAGTAAGAAACCAAAGCAGACCCCGCCTCTCCAAGGAAAACATCTTCAGAAAACCTAAACTTCCATCCTATTAATTATAATCTAGAGAACCAGAGAACTATCTGTTTGGATTTGTCCTCAGCAGAACCGGTCAACGCTCTCAAACTAAAGAAATACCTTCACCAGATTTTCATTGGCATCCAACAGACGACTCAAAAACATAGATCCCAAATCATATATTATCTGACAAAAAAAGCCTAGAAAAGTATAACATGACATGAAAGTGATGGATTAATGTCTACATAAAATTTCCTGGAGACATTGAGGCTCATTCATTTGCGCTCATGTGAGAGAATAAATAGATAGTGATGTTTTTCCCATAGGCTGGTAACAAATCTCTGTATACACCAGATTAACAACCAAACAAAACTAAAACCTTGTCTATAAAGAAGGGAAATTTTAAAATTCACTAAAGAACTGGTCTGCATTTTTAGATATTAAACAAAATCAATAGTAAACATATTTTTATATTCTAAAATCCCACTTTGACAAATTTACTGGTCATCAACAAACAATCTTGCATATAATTATTTATTGACAATTATCAGTAACATCGAATGAAAACCTAGGATCTTGCACTTCTCGAAAAATAAATAAAATGGTTTACCATATTCCTTCAATTTTTCACTGTAAAATCTACAGGGAGTAGGCTAGCCTAACCATCATCAATGTAAAACTGTCATAGCATGCTAGCAATTTTATACCTTCATTATATGACAGAGCACACCCACGTGGTCAAAAGGTCCACACACACTAAAATTCAGTGCCACTATCAGTCACCTTAACCTCAAACACCACTCTTCCCCACTCCTCCCTTTGTTCAGCTTGCGTGTACCTTGTCCTGTACCTAACTAATTGGTTTCACTTTCCATTTTCAGAAACAATCAGTGTACTTTGTGTAATTATTTTTTGTCATATAGGAATAGGATCCTCCGAAACTGACCAAAATAGTTGAATCGCCCCTACTTCTAGTTAAGACATATCTACTTCAATAATCCTGAGAAGATGCAATATTCAAAGATACCTTTTAGTCCATCCTGGAGCTTGGAGGGTCATTTTTCCTGTTGATTCTGCAAACACCACAGGTCTGCTGCCTTCCCATTCATGGACGGCGGCCAACTGTTCTCCCTCAATTTTCTCCCATAGCATTGCTTCATTTTCCATCTCCTTATTGTCCGCACATCCTTCACCTGCAGCCACAAACCCCTATTCAGAAGAGAGCATTGAGCTAGAAAAGTAATGCAAGACTATTTGTATGATTATATCACACAAACCGTACATGGATCAATCAACACATCATTCTAGTGTAGAGAGAGGTTTTTACCATCCATAGATCATTCAATTCAGAACAAGCACCACTGTTATAAACACCGAGGCAGTGGCAACGTACTTTTTTAACTCAGTTAGATCTTGGTCCTTTTAGATACCCATTCTACTGACCATGTGGAGTTTAAACCTGCAAAAAATGGTTTTCTTAATATAAAGGAGGCATATCACGCATGAAGATATGCATGCATAATTTGTTCTTCGCAGAGTATGAAAGAGGCATATCTTAAGAAAGCTAAATAATAATAGTTGGTATAAGGTAGTATTCATGAATGAATATGGCAACACCAATAACTACCCTTTGAGAATGGCCATGTCTCATGAAACTCGAAAGCGTTGTGTCACAATAAAAAGATCGCCAACATTCATCATTCATGGCGCTACTCTCCCAACCTGCATGTGAACCGACATCAAATAGATAAGACAAATATTCAGATAGGAGAGTGTCCAATGGGAAAAATATCAAACTAATCCCAGCAGGATAGATGCATACAAAATACATGACTCGCTGAGATATGAGAACAAGCCAAACTTACCACCGAGCCCTTTCCAGCAGAAGGCACGCATACTTTCCTCTGCACCGTGGAAGCCATCGGCGCCATGAAGAACATATCGAAAAGGAACTGTACCGAGCCACCGTCTAGACCCCGGGATCTCCTCTTCCTCCTCCAGGTTCGGGCCTGCTGCTTTGCAGCACGGAGGGCGAGCCTCCTGGAGAGGCTGTGGCGGCAGCAAGGACGCGAGATGGAGACATGAGGCGTGTCGTGAGGGAGGAGAAGGAAGAAAGGGAGGGGAACCGCAGGAGGATGGGGACCTGGCCGTCGGACGAGACGAGCGAGGACGGGGTTGGGTGCAGCGCACGCGGAGAGGATTTGGGCAGGGGCGGCGTGGATCTGGTGGGTGGAGTAACCCTCCTCGCCCACCTCCCCTATCCATTCATCCCGCCACCGAGCTCGCAGGGGCGGCGAGGAATAGCAGGCGGCGAGGCTCCGGGGCGGAGGCCGTGGTGACGCGAGGTGGAGGGATTGAGGCGGGAGATGTTGTGGGGATTGAGGGGAAAGTGGGCTAGGGTTTGGGTGGTGGCTGATGCGGGAGTGGGACGAGGCGAGGATGGATTGGCTGGGGAACGCGGGGTGTGGATTGGGGAAAACCTCCTGCACGCGGGCGCGGCCAACCCAGCCAACGAGCGTGCGAGACGAGCCCACTCGTCATTGGTCAGTAAAAACGACTGCGAGGTGAAAATAGTTTGACCGCAAGGTGAAATCCAACGGGTCAGACAAGCCAAAAAGACAAATCCGATGACCAACCAAAGGCCAATCGGGAGAGCCTTGTGCAGGTGAGTTGGCTAGCCTCATTATTGTTTTAAACGTGACAGTCTTTAGCACTGTGCAAGTTTTTTTTTTTTTGAGAATTCTCGCCTCCTTTATTTATTCAGAAGCAATCGTCATAGGTACAAGATCGGGATCATGAGGATTGCGCAACCAAACATGTCTACCTATATCTAGGTTGCAAGCAAATTTGGCGAGATTATGAGCTTCAAAATTGAAGTTCCTGCGCTCGAAAACAAAAGAGCAAGTAATAAAACTATTACAATGGTTCATTATTTCATGTACCAACGATGCATTGGGGCCTTCTGTACCCCTGTTGATATCATTAACCGCTTCTTGGCAGTCCGATGTCACGTGAATCTTCTGTTGTCCTAGGTCATCTGCTAGAGCAAGAGCTTCCCGGCATGCATATGTCTCCAGGGTTAGAGGGTCCGTCATACCATAATAAACCATAGCCGAGGAGCCCAGATAGTGCCCATCCTGGTCACGGCAAAAGGCAGCAACCGCTCCTCCTCTCCGTGAGCGACCCACAGCCCCGTCAACATTAATTTTTGCAGAGCCTGTAGGAGGAGGAAGCCACCTTTTCGGTTGTGGTGGTGCAGGTACAGATTGTTCGCGCACTCTTCGCACAACTAAGTGACCTAGCTCATCGATATAATTATTTATAAAAGAAGCCGTTTGCTGGGGGTTCTGGAATATAGATTCATAGATAGCCTTCCTCCTCGCAAACCATATAGACCATAGTGTGATGACCATCCTTGTGAAGCTAGCTTGGTCCAGTTTTTCATATAGATCAAACAGCCATATTCTTGCGTTGGATTCATCATTTTCAGCCATGATTGACACCAAGTTTTCCTCCGAAAGAGCCCACACGCAGCGAGACATCGTGCATGCTACCAACGCATGTCTCCAAGAATCCTCACATCCACACAACGGACAAACTTCTCTCTCTGACATGTTTCTTCTTTTCAGGACATCCGTTGTAGGGAGTGAGTGATGAGCTAACCTCCAAAGAAAGATCCTCACCTTCGACGGGATTTTAAATTTCCACAAGGAAGTCCAAGCTTTTTCGTCCTTTTCGGTGTGAGATGTTCCGCTACTTCCATTTAACCACTCCTCCCTCTGTAATTTTGTCTTGAGCAAAAACTTATAAGCCGAACTGACACTAAATTTGCCTTTCTTATCCGGATACCACGCCCAAAAGTCCTCAACGTTGCGGGTGCATACCGGAATCTTCAATATGGCCTCAGCATCTATAGGCAAAAACACGGACCGGACCAAACCCTCATTCCATGAGGCTGTCGCCGGGGAGAGCAGCTCCGAAACGTGCCTGGGAGGGTGAGGAACCAACGAGACAATAGGCCGTGGCGTCATCTCCTTCGGAATCCAGTTATCCGTCCAAATCTCCGTTGATTGCCCATTACCAATCCGACGAATGAGCCCCTGCCTCAACAGATCACGTCCTTCCAATATAGCCCGCCAAATCTAAGACGGCCTTGGTCCCAACTCCGCATCAAGAACCGAATTGTTTGGATAATATGCGGCCTTCAAAATTCTTGCGCTCAAACTCATTGGTTCTTGTAGTATTCGCCAGGCTTGGCGAGCCAACAGGGCTAGATTGAAGATCTCAAGATCCCTGAATCCTAGCCCGCCTAGATGTTTAGGACGTGTCATCACATCCCAGGAAACCCAAGCCGGCTTACGTTGTCCCTGTTTGCACCCCCACCAAAACTTCCTGATTATGGATTTTATATGATCACATAAACCTCTTGGGAGTTTGAAACATGACATCGAGAACACCGGGATGGCCTGGGCCACTGATTTAATTAGCACATCTTTTCCACCTGCTGATAGGCATTTGCTCATCCAACCTTTTACCTTGTCCCAAACTCTGTCACTCAAATATTTGAAAGTACCCTTTTTTGAGTGGCCCACGCCTGTTGGCAAACCCAAATATCTGTCGCTCAATGATTCATTAGGGACCTGCAAATGGCCTTTGACCGCAGCACGTACTATCTCTGGGCTTCCCTTGCTAAAAAAGATTGTAGATTTATCTTTGTTGATCCGTTGACCTGATGCCAAACAATATGTATTCAACAGGTTTGATACTGCTTCCGCTCCATCAACACTCGCCCTGAAAAACAGCAAGCTATCATCCGCGAATAAAAGGTGATTCACCGCCGGACCCGACGGTGCCACCTTAATGCCGCTGAGCTGGGATGATTGATTTTGGGATTTTAAGAGGCACGATAGGCCCTCTGCTGCTAACAAGAAGAGGTATGGAGAGATTGGATCTCCCTGACGAATCCCCCTCGTAGGATGAAAAGCTTCTGACTTCAGCACTGTGCAAGGTGGAGCAGGGCCTCACTATAGCTGGCCAAATGGGCCGGTTTTTTCGGGCCGGCCCGTGAGCACGCCGGCACGGCCCGCCTTGGGCTAGGCACGGCACGGGCTAAATGGGCCGGGCCAGGCACGCGGCACGCCCTGGGCCATGCCTGGGCTTGGAGGCTGGGCACACGGGCCGGCACGACACGGCCCGATTACGTTTTTTTTATTTTTTTTATACATATATATATGGCCCAACATGTAAAAGTAGGCTAAAAACGCTCGGTGCGTCAAATAACAGGCTAAAATTATGCAGCCCACCGTGCTAAACCGGCCAACGTGCCGGCCCGTTTACTAACTGGGCCGTGCCTGGGTTGCAGGCTGCAGCACGCAGGCCAGCACGGCACGGCCCGTATAATAATCGTGCCTTGGCGGGCCGGGCCGTGCCAGACACGATTAGGATGGGCCGTGCCGGGCCGGCCCGTTTGGCCAGCTATAGGCCTCACGGCGCTCACCCCACTCCTCTTCCTTTCCCCTCACTTTTCTGCGGTGAGGCACCCTGCCCCGGCTCGCGCGAGCTCCGCCATTCCTCCCGCTTTCACTATCGTCCCGCCCTCCGGCGTACTCTACTCCCGCAGCTCCGCACTCCGCTCCTCCTCGACCTTGCGGACGCTCCTCCGACGGTCGCGACCGTGCATCCGACGCCGCCGGGGCGACCTCCTCCTCCGGGGCGGCGCGATCTCCCGCCCTGAGAGGGGCAGAAAACGGACGGTGAAGCAAGAAGAAATACTCGGGGGAGGCGCAGGACCAGAGGCGGAAGGCGAGAAGGGGAGTGCCAAGGCGACGACGAAGGCGACCACGAGCCACGCCGACCCCCCTGCGGCTCGCTGCCCGCGCCGCGTCCCCCTAGGCCGCCGCCGCCTTTGCAGTGCCGCATGGTCTTCACCGTCGGCACCTCCATCGCCTCCGTCCTCACGTCGTGGGCAGGTACGCCCCTGTTCACTCCCCCTGCCGTGCCCCGCAATTTGTATACTTCATATGCTGTTCTCGGGTTCAGAGTGTATCATTGGCTTGTCTGGTTGATTACCTTTCTGCGTTTCAATTGCTGCTGTATCTGAGGGAGTAAGATAGGGGGTGATGCAGTTGTGCAGCTGCTTGCTGCTGATTGCTGAACCCTTGTTAGTTTGTTTGACTTATGTAAGACTATAGGGCACACCTCAATCGGAACCACAGCTGCACTGGAGCATTTTTGTTTCAGAATGCCCCATTGGTGGTGGTGACTGACTGCAAGTGCACCAGGTTACAGTCTTATTGATGAGTTCTTTTTTCCAATGCTATATACTACTTGTAGTCATTTTTTCAGATGGCAAATTCATTTTCGAGAAATCATGCTTGTGGTTTCTGGCAAGGCAACTAAATTTGGTACAAATTTAATCAAGGGAAGTTTTTTTTTAATTTGGACAACTAAATTCGGTAAAAAATTAATCCCCACCAACTCGCGCCGGAACCCGCCAAGAACCTCCAGTACCTTCTCCGCTCCGGTACATTTAGCAGCAAATTTGTCAAAATTGCTAAGGATCCCTTAAATTTTGCCATGTCTCCAATTTTTTCTAATGGCAAAATGTCATGTCTCGGCATTTCTGCCATGGCAAATTGGTTTTTTGTGATTGCAACTTGTCATGTTTTTGTTCCCACGGCAAATAAACATGCCTTGTTCTTTAAGTTTTTTTTTTACATCCAAAACATGTTCGTATTGCCATGGTCTAGAAGAGTTCATCAGAATTATTAAGCAATTCTTCGTATTGACATACAACCAATCCATGATTCCGTTCCAAAATAGATGACCCAACTTTGTACTAACTTTGTACTAAATTATTATTTAGTACAAAGTTGAGCCATATATTTTGGAACGGAGGGAGTATTTGTCATGGCAAATTGTGCGCTACTTTAGGTTTTCACCCCATGGCAAATTTTAAAGATGTTTGCACATGGCAAATATCATTGCAATTCATAATTAGTTAAAGCTTTTTGTCATGGCAAAAATCTTATAAAACTCTTTTGCAATGTATCGAATCCAATTTTTTGCCATGTAACCAACACAAATTTTTCCATGGCAAAAATGTCATTACTTTTGCCATGCCACCTATAAAATTGTTGCCATGGCAAAAATGTCATTACTTTTTGTCATGCCACCAGTTTTTGTAGGATATATCTTTGTTCGTGTTCTTTATTATTTTTATAGCAAGCGTTTCTGTTTTTTTTTTACTTTTTTTTGAGGGTTTC